TTTTTTTAAATATTTTGGCCAGTACTGCAGACCCACCCCTGAGCTGGTATGGTGATGTGAAGCTCCTAGTTTGAAGCCCAGCTGAGGCCATTCTGTGTGGAGTTTGCATGTTCACCCTGTGTCTGTGTGGGGGTCCTCCCACAGTCCAAACACATGCATGTTAGATTAAGTGGAGATTCCAAATTGGACAAGGATGATCTGTAAATGATTTAGAAGTTGCTGTGTTAATGGATGATTAAATATCCAACCTGCAGTCATAAGTGCTTTGAGTGATCAGTAAGACTATGCAAGTGCCACGCAAATAAAATGTCATTATACTTAAATATAAACTACTATATACTGAACTGTTTGATGTTTATGAGCTTTCTTGTGTGAGCGAGGGGTGGAATTTGAAAAGTGAAATGTCATCATTACAGATGAAACTCTTTGTCAATCCAGCTTTGCTGCCCCAGTTAGAACTTTGCTCTTGGTCTGCCAGAGATGCCAGCTCAAGCGATTTGCTGGTCCTCGCAGAGTCCAGCCACACTGAGTTGTATCAGGGCAAAAAAATGTTATGCTCAGCGACCATAAGGCTGTAATTACATAGGAGCAGTGCTGAGCTCTGCAGGATAAACGTCAAGACCCAGAGAGATGGCACAAAGCAACTGAAGAGGGGAAATGTGGACACATTTACAATAAAGACAAAGAAAGTCAGGACGACACAAAGACAGCTAGTAAATTGGGTAAACTGTAACAACTAAGAAAGCAGGTAAAATTTAATAATCTGAGTCACCCAATAGCATTAGATCATTCTCATTTCCAAAGTGATACATGAGTTGAGCCACAGCATGGTGTGACTGACACCTTGTGGATTCCAAGGATAACTGCTGAAGTCACATATTCCTAGTATTGCATCTCTACAGTACTTTTAACTGTTATCACAGAGAAACAAAATTGACTTCAAACTCAATCAGCATGGAGAACGGAAAGAAACGTCACAGTCGTTTCAAACTTCAATTTTTATTATTTGTACATTCACCACTGATAGGCGTACTCAAGAAGAAATTAAAAAAACAAAACCAAAAAAACCAAAAACCAATTTTTTTTAATTGTTAAGGTTCCAAAAAAAAAATAAAAATATTAAAACCATTGGTGAGAAAACTCATAATGCAACCTCCCCTCTCAGGCCTGTACTGACTACAGGGTCAGAGTACTGGAGGAAGAGGAGGAAAGGGAGAAGAGGAGAATTATTAAGGACATAAACATAATCTGTGTCAGCTGTGACAGACAGATTCTCTCCCACAGAGAATAAACTCATCTCTTAACAGAGACAGAGGAACACTGCATTGCCTTAGTAGTTATTCCACGCTTGTTTAAAAATACCCCAGAGCTGCCTCATTTAAAGACTTGATTTGAAGTAATCTTAAGTCTGTACAAAAAGCCAAACACACCTATTTCAGTATTGTCTGATTTATGCAGTCCTCTTTGCAGAGGACCGAGTCTTCTCTTTAGGCAGGACTGGCAGGAGGAGCCTTGTACTACATGCAGCAACAAAAGGATTCCTCATCCAAATTGTTAAACACAGAGGCGACAACAAGTGACTGCAAATCATAATTGGCACCCACACTATGAGGCAAATGGGGCACGTTGGGCTAAATAATCAAAATTACCCAGTGAGTCAAACAGCTATGCTGTCAAAACAAAAACTGAAGAATAAGAGGCAAATGTAGAAAAAAAATAAAAATAAAATAAAACCTTGACAGTAACGCCACGGACAGCGCTCTGAAAAACAACACTGCAAAAAAAAGATCATGGTCCCCTTAAAGCATAAATGTGTGTAGGTGTAAATGTGCTTTAAAATAAAAAAAGAAGATGACAATTTGAGAGATGGTAGCGACATCGGTTGGTCCTCTGTTGGGTCTTAGTTGTAACAAAGTACATGTAGTGAAAGGCAAATGGAGGAGGGCGGTCTCTAGGACAGTTCCATCAGTTGATTGGCCATTAGCGCCGCCTTTCTCGTGGTTCGCTGCGGCTGCGTGAGCGTCGGCCTCCGCCCGCCCCGCTGCCCCCGGGCCTACGGTAGCCATCCCTGCGTTTGTCGTTCTCCCTTTCCCTCTCTCTCTCCCTCTCCCTGTCTCTATCTCGACCTCTGTCTCTCTCTCTGTCCTTGTCTTTCTCACCCTCACTGCGTTCTGTTGTGCCTCCTCCAGCTTTCACCCTCTCCTTGCGCTCCTCTTCCCTTTTTTTCTCCTCCTCTTCTTGCTCCTTTCGCCGTTTCTCACGTTCTTTTGCCCGTTCTGCTCTGGCAGCTTCCCGCTGGGCAAACTACAATGAAAATGTAAAAAAAAAAAAATACTATAAAAAAAACCCCAAAACCCCCAAAAGGTATGAAGTGGTTTGTTTCATCACCTGTTCATCTGTAAGTGGAAGCCAGTATATGCAAGGGGCAGCTTTAGTCTTGCGGAACAAGTCATCAAGCAGCTTTGCAGGGGGATCCTCGGCTATTTTCTCTGACAGAGAATACACACAACATTAGACAAGAGAACAGGCCTCTGGCAGCGGACCCGGTACACTGAGTCTAAATCCATGTCTTACCTTTCTTCTCCTTGCTCTTTCCCCTCTCCTTGCGTCGCCTCTCTCTTGATCGCGACCTTCGAGGACCTCCCTCCTTCTCTTCTCCGTGTTTTCCAAACTCTCTAACCTTGTCGCGATCCCACTCCCGCTCTGCTCGAGCTCGCTCCCTGCGTTCCATTTCGCGTTCCCGTTCAGCCCACTGATCTCGCTCAGGAAGGAGAGAGGGCAGGCCCGATGTTCGACCACGGCCGGAGCCAGGACCATGTTCCTCTGCTCCAGGTTTGTCACCTGCACCCAAACCTTTGTGGAAGTCCAACTACAGGGCAGAGACATGTTCAGATTACAGATAGCCAAACATTTAACACTTATGGAGGGGGAAAAAAACTCAAAACAAAAATATTCTTACTTCATCCTGCTGGCAGAAGTCAACAGTGAGAACTTTTGGGTTACTCTGTGGCCATTTCACGCCATGAAGAGCTGCTCGTGTGGCGACTGCCTCCTCTACACTTGAATACTAGACACGGAAAGTATAGTGGAGGACCCGTGAGAGAGAGAAAATACTTCCAATGTCTAAAAGCAGTCTGAGCTGCAAATATCAGCTCAATGGACTCAATGCTTTTAATAACTTACAGTGACATAGCAGTGGGACTTGATTTTGTCAATCCAGAAGCCCTCCTCCACCAGACTGCCAGTTCTGCTGAGCAGTTCCTTAAGCTGTCCCAGAGTGAATGGCCTCACCTGAACAGTGTCACAGACTCCATTACAACATGAATAAAGTGCGACTACTAACAATTTACACACTGCAAACAAGATAAACACAGTGGAACAATTAAATAAAATAAGAAGTCAGCAAGATTACAAGAGGAAAAACTGAAACCTTTCCATACAATTATTTTTTTAACTTACCGTAATTGTCGGGCTATAAGCCGCTACTTTTTGCACAAGCTTTGAACCCTGCGGCTTTTAGTCAGGTGCGGCTTTTCTATGGATTGTCCATGATTTTTGTCATATCGTAAGACGATTTGTTTTGTTGTTCCGCTGTTGTACGGCACTACGTTGCCTGGCGGAAGGATCGGGGTTCAAGAGTGGTATGTTAGTCACATGTCCGTCCGCCAGGCAACGTAGTGCCGTACGAAGTAGCGCGAAAAACAAACTTCAAAGTAGCGTACGCGTTCAGCGGGAGTCGTGGATGATGAGCGGCGATAAACTTGCGAAAAGCAAGTTATGCCCAACTCCACCGGTGGATTCTGACAGCGTGGAAAAGTGTGAAAACATCCACGATCACCAACGGATTTCGAAGGGCTGGACTGCTGCATGATGGAGAGGAGGACACCGCCACGGCCCTTCTGAGGGTGTTCGACTCTGACACTGACAACGAGGATTTCTTTGGTTTTGAAAGTGACAACGAAGGAGAGAAGCGAGAGTGGATGACGAAGCCATCCTGAGCCTGTTGTATCCGACACTGGAGAAGAGGACTTTGGTGGTTTTAGTGCGCAGGAAGAAGAGAAAGATGGTGGTGAATGACTGACTTTTCTTCTTGTTAAAGCGTGTCACTGCACCTGAGCCTAAAAGGTAGTCGAATCTATTTTTCTGGTGTGCTGTAGGTTACTGTTATGTACTACATTTGTTACTCATTTATGAAGCACAGCACATGTGCAAATGTACCCATAACTTGTTTTTCAAAATATTAATAAAAGTGATGTCTCCAAACAGCCATCTCTTTCCTGACAATTCGCTTTGTGCATATTCTCTTACATATGATAAGTCAACATTGAAACACCTGCGGCTTTTGGTCAGGTGCGGCTAATGTATGTACAAAACAGGATTTTCCCCTGATTTTAGCTTGTGCGGCTAATATTCAGGTGCGCTTTGTAGTCCGGGAAATACGGTAATTGTTTTGATTTTTTATAAATTAACTGGGTCTATGACAGTAGAAGACAATATATTGTGGAAGTTTTATACCTCAACAAAATAAAAAATAAAGAAATAAAAATCTAAAATCAACCCCAAAAGAAAGAAAGAAAACAAAAATCCATGTCCTATTGCTCATATTTTAGAAATTTGAGCCCAACATGGGTTTGTTCATGGGTCCTATTCTCTCACCAGGTTGCAGATGTGAACAATAGTGGAGACTTTTCCGCGAGGTGGCGAGGGCTGCTTAGCCGTGCGAACAGGGTCATCAATTGTGATGGAAACACTTGTTTTCTGCTGGCTGATGGAGCGACGGATGAGGGTGTCGCTGGGGGTCACTAGAATGAAAAGCAGTGAGCAAAGTGTCTCCATTACATCACTGTCTTTGTAGTTCTTATAATAGAACATATTTTCCTTTACCGAGGCAAGAGATCTGTATGTTTGAGTGTCTAATAATTAAACTATTTGAATTGCTACACCCAAGATGGCATGCCAGAAATCAGCACCGACTGAAAATAGTTGTTTGAATCCATATAAAGAATCATTCAAGTCTTTCTGTCAGCCTTTCTGTCATGCACCCATTTGGCTTTCTTAAACATAAGGTAATATGAAAATTAGATTTCAGGAATACATTAATTAATTCTGATGAATTTATTTCTGCAGAGAAGCCATCTTACGGTGGATATCTTACCAGTGTTGATTTCTACATCATGGCTGGTATGTGTTGGTGAATGAGTTTCAACAGCTACAGGAATAGAGGTATCCATCTGCTCTTCATGAGCCTTTGTCCTTTCTTGGTCTACCTGTAGATCATCTTCCTCTGCCTCCTCTTGCCTGCTCCTCTTTGCTTCTCTTTGCCCATTCTCCTGGCTTTCTGAATGCACCACCTTAAATACAAGATATCACACCAAGCAATCAACTGAGAGATAACCTCGAACAATCTTAAAGAGCACTTTACACTTAATGAAAGTGAAGATACTAGCGTCAGGTTAATCAGTAGTTAAACACTAACAACAGTAACCTGTGTAACTGTGCGTCTAATCTGAAGGTCCTGATCAGAGCGCTCCCTGTCTTCATCATCAGCCCCAGAGAGGACAGCTTCCTCTGGATGCAAGTCAACTACTGCTTCCTGTCCTAGACATGGCCTGATGTCTGGGATCAGAGACTACAGGCAAAGCGTGAGGAAACAACATGGTTAAGCTTTCTACGAGACAGTGTTTACAATGCATCTGTGAGAATTACTGTTAACTACAATGTAAAACAAATTATGCTTTGCTGCAAATACCTTGAGTGAGTCAGTGGTGATGCTGATGGAAGGTTTCTTGGCAGTAACAGCTGTGCTGGAGCCCCACCTCCTCTTGCGACCAGCCACTGTCCCAGACTCCTGTTCACCCTCTGCACTGCTGGTGCCCGGGGATGATTTACTGCCTGGGAAGTAATGGAATCAATACAATGCTCGACGTTTATGCAACACATCAACTGGAAATATATACAGACAATGGTCTTTTGAATGATTACTGAATTATATATTCTGTTGAATAACCAAATTTAAGAATTTTTTAACGCTGCTGTGTTCTCAAACCTTAGCGTATCAATGCTGCACCTCCCATATCAAAAATATTTGTAAACTAGATTAATACAAATATGAGGAGAAAAAGCCACAATATCAACGTGAATAATCAAATGTTAGTAAAGAATGGAACAAGGTGAAAGGTTGTACTCACTGCTAAGAGAGATCTTACGAGCTGAGAAGGCCTTTGATTTCTGAAACACAAGAAGATAGAAACAACCCGACATACATGGGAGAGGTGAGACGCCGACACCATGGAATGAGACAAATGGTCAAGTTGAAGAAAATGTGGAATAAAAACAAGAAGCGGGTAAAGAGAACTGAAAACAACACCTCGCCTTAAAACTCGTTGTTTATTGATGGCAAGCTATGTTGCATTTGTTTATGTTTATGATGTGTTCTCCTAACTTTTGAAGCTCTACACCTGTAGATTTTTGAAAACATTGCTTACTTTTAAAGATTGAACTTCTCAAACTTGAACTTTCTAAAAAAAAACAAAAAACAAAACCCAAAACAAGCCCCCCCCCCCAAAAAAAACAAAAAACAAGGACCTAGTGGAAACTGTAATGTTTCAATTTAAGCACTAAAATGTTTTGTTTTTTTAAATGTTTGTAGACAAACTCCAACTAGTTCAACAAAACTAATATTTAACTACTTTAGCCAGCTAAAAGTAAACTAGACACAAGATCACCAAATAGGGGTTTAGAAATATTTTTGTTAAACTGCAGGAGGCACAATTAAAAATCCGAAGCTCATTCTCCATCAGTGATTAAAAAGAATATAAATTTATATTAAACACATTCAAAATAAGCTATGAAATACAGCACTGAGTAAACATCTACTTATTCCCTGACACCTGATCCTTACTGTTTTGGATATGGCCCAATCACGACTGCATGTACTGTATTTAGGGAACAAGGGTCCAATCAATGGTGGCTGGATGAAAATCTGAAATCTTGCTGGCTGGTAGGTTGGGCTCAATAGTTCATTTGGGTTTGGGCTTTCAAATGTTCTTGGCCAAAGCAGTCGTCTTCAGATGTTAGTCCTTTTAAAGATGTGGCAGACTTTTATACTGGCAGAAGAGAGTGATCAGTCCACTTAAATTGAGACCAGATAATGAATGCTGTCAACAGTCACTGTGCAACAACTCCATAAGTTTGACTTAAAAGTTCTGCTGTATTTAAGAAGCAGTCACATAGTAGCAAAACTCTGGCAACAAATGGCAAGTCCTTTTTCAGGAGAAAACATTCCCAGCCTCTTGCAGTCCAGATATTTGCTTTAAGCTATCTGAAAAAGTATCCAAGCAGCAGATCTCTCTTCCAACAGATACACAAAAAATCGAAATGTCCTTCATACCATTCTCCAGGTCATAATCCACAATGCCCACTTTCTTTGATCGTTATGAGATTAAAAAAATGTCTTTGATAATAATAATTTAAAAAAAAAAAAAACTTCTTTAAACTTGTTCACAGCAGCCTTGAACTTGGCTTAAGTGAGCAAGCTTCTTTCCTCATGCTCTCGATGTAGACTTTAAGGGTGTGGGGCTAGATTGGTAAAAATCAGGCTGCAAGATGTGGGCAACATTGACTAGCCAACCCCCTTTTTAAAACTTCTGGTCCAATTAATAGTTTCTGTCAGCCATATCGGTGAAAATGAGGCAGACTTTGTTGCCAGGGGTGTCCCTCTGTAGTGCAGACTTTGGGGCTTATCTGTGGTCAACTCTGGATTCTTGGGGACAGTGGAACAGGTGCAGCAGTAGCAGTAGTGCCAGAGGTAGTACGCAGGTACCAATAGGGGCAATGGAAGAAGCATGAGCACCTTTATAACAAAGGAATCATTTGGGGTTTAAACATCAGCCACAGTGAGAAAACACCCTTGCTGTTTGTTCCTATGACAGTACCCAAGGTTAACATACTACCAAGTTTGAAAATGGCCCATTAAACCTTCTAATGACCCTTTCTCGTTGTTTAAAAACAAAACAAAAATCTAAATACTTACAGTAAAATGTAACATGTTTAAAAACTAGGAATAATTCAAAAAGTGCACTAAAAAAAAATCTAACTATTATGGATGCCTGTGACTAATTGACTAGACGTTTAAACACGGCTGCCAGTTAAATGTATTATTATGTTATTACTATACAACAGCAGTTGCCATTTCAAAGATGCTGCTGGCCACTCATGTTGCCTGCAGCGCTAACACCAGCTATGCCTCCGTCTCTCTACCTATCTCTGTGGAGGAAAGTAACGAGCGAGGGGGGGAAAGTAAACCGATGACAGCCGAGACAGCGAACCATCGCTGTTCTTCAGCACTGTTTAAAAATAAATAAATATCGTTTGTGTCAGAATAAACTGGAACTAAACCCCCGAGTAATCACACTGCACTGTGGTGCAGGACATTGTTACAGTTCATACTATAGTTCATATAGTTCCACAAACACACATGCAATACTTTTTGGGCCAATGTTGAAATTTGTCGATCAATTTGTGTCCAGTTTTTAATATAGTCAGAGTTTTCTGTCTTTTCAAGTAGATGAATAGCTAAGCTTTCTCTCTTGTTTAAACAACTAGTAAATTAGTCACGAGGAACATCCCTAAAAACTGCATCTCCCCTGCAAAGTACTTAATTAATGAAAGCCTTCAGAACTGAAATGATTTGGGATTTTCCAGGTGCCTTACCTCCTCACTGGTTTCTTGAAATTTCTCTGGATCTGCCATGGTAGTCTCCTTCATCTGCCTGCATATTGTTAAAAATAATTGCACATCAAAGAAAAGAGGTAAAAAAGAAAAAAAGATCATCAGTATGAAGAAAGAAAACTCACTCATAAGATGTTAAAAATATTAAATTAATAGCTTAACACAAGCAATCAAAACACTATGTAAATGTTTAACAAAAACAAAACATGTCAAATCTAAAGTATTAAAAATATTCGTAGCAATAGGAACAAAAGGATTAAAATCAGAAACTTAATTGATTCCTAAATTAAAACTGATTTAAAATGGATATGCCTTTGTAAATATTGCCAGTAGCTGGGCAGTGCATGCAAAATTAATACTTTAGTCCTTTAAATGTCATTACACTGCAATCATAATTCAAAAATTCACGTTTTCTCAAACACGTGTCAAGGAACCACAACACAGCATAAAAACGCGTTAAAATCTCAGCAAGTGGACCCACTCCAATGTAATGCACAAACAGCAACCAGCAGATGCTAAAATTACTGCGCCTTCACCGCATCACACGTTGGTGACCACATCAAATGCGCTGCTATCGTCCCCCTCAGGGTTAAAGAACTGAGCCGAGGCGAGAAAAATAAAACAGAAATTAAACGCAGTTACCACACTCCTTATTTAGCCAAGCTGCGCCCGTCCAGATCCGACACGCACCACAGCTACACGGTACCTGACGAATGAGCGTACGCCTCACGTCGTCACACCATCCTCGTGAAAGCACACGCGAACAAGTCCACTCATTGCGACTGAAATCAACTTGGGGAACTTCACACCACTGAGACCACGCCGTGCTCGCTCCACACGCAGCACACAGACTGCGACTGCCGTTAAAACGACTGCGTCGCAACCAACCGCTTCTCTTCCCTCCCTGCTGTCTTCCTCTCTCCGAACACTACTCCTCTGTGAATACGTCCATGACCGCAGCGGCTGTCAACCGGAACCTGCAGCGGACAAAGTGTCGCCTGCTGTCTAGCTGAGCCGTGGTGTGGAGAGCCAAAGGCCGGCATAGGCTGCTAAACCCGCCGACTGAGCACAGCCATGTTGCAACGAATAAAGAAAAAAAAGATCTTGTATTAAAAAAAAGAAAAAGGACCCACATCTTTTCTAGCACGCCGGATTTAAGGTAGTCTCATCAATCGCCTGATGGGAAATTCAATGCCCAGCCTTTTTTCTTACACCGTTTTTATCAGGTCTTCATTATAATGACATCATGGAAGCGTTAAAGTGAACACATCAGTATGTCATTACACAAAACAATGTCCACGGAACTGGCTTTTTTTCACGTGCTTTTTCCACAATATGTAAATAGCGATGTGCAAAATAATTACTCCACTCTTACCATTGAGGAGTTGTTGTTCTTTTAAGTTGAAATATTTATGAAATAATGAGATTTAAAAAAAAGAAGAAAAAAAAAAGCTTTCGGTCATTTCACTAGCTTTGCGCCTAAAGGACAGTTTAAGCACAATAAAGCTACAATATATTTTGTAGGAGAAACAACCTGACATCTTACTATGATGATCGTAGGCCTCTCTTTTACACTGATCATCCATCTTGATGAAACTTACAATAAAAACTGCCTAGAGTACTAGCATTAACATTTTACTTACTTCTTACTTAATTTAGTAATTACATTATAGTTACAATTATGTCGTTGTTATGTTAAAAAATATTCTTTAGTTATCTGCATGCTGCAATAGAAAGAAAAATGCATATCTGTAAATAAGAGTTAATCAAAGACTGATGCTAATAAGTAAGTGATTATGCATAATCTGTAAATGGAAAAAGTTTGGAACCACCAGGTCTCTTCCTAGAGCTGGCCACCCAGCCGATCTGAGCAATTGGGGTAAAAGGGTCTTAGTCAGGAAGGTGACCAAGAACCCGATGGTCACTCTGACAGAGCTCCAGTGTTGCTCTGTCGAGAGAGGAGAACTTTCCAGGAGGACACCCATTTCAGCACCACTCCAGCATTAGACAGAAGCCACTCCTCAGTAAAAAGGCACAAACAGCCCTCCTAGAGTTTGTCAAAAGGCATCCGAAGGACTCTCAGACTACGAGAAACAAAATTCTCTGGTCTGATGAAAAAAAAATGCCAAGCCTCTTGTGTGTGGAGGAAACCAAGCATGACTCATCAACTGGCCACTACCATCCCTACAGTGAAGCATGGTGGTGGCAACATCATGCTGTTGGGATGTTTTTTGACACCTGGGACCATGTCAGGGTCAAGGAATGATGAACGCAGCAATGCACAAAGACATCCTTCATAACCTGCTCCAGAGCATTCTGTACATCTGATTAATCTTCAGATTCATCACATTCATCTTTCAACTGGACAACGACTCCAAGCACACAGCCAAGATAACCACACAGTGGCTTTGTGACCGCTCTAAATGTCCTTGAATGGCCCACCCAGACCCAGACTTGAACCTGCTTGTACATCTCTGGAAAGATCTGAAAAACGTCTGTGCACTGACACGCCCCACCTAATCTGATGGCGCTTTAGAGGATCTGCAAAGAAGAATGAGAGAAACTGCCCAAAAATAGGTGCGGCAAGCTTACTTAAAAAACCCCCAAAACAAAACAAAACTTGATGCTATAATTGCTACCAAACACGCTTAAACAAAATATTGAGCAAAGGCTGTGAATACTTATGTACATGTTTAAAAATTTTATTATTAAATTTGCAAGATTTACAAGCAACCTTTTTTTCCCCACTTTGTCATAATGGGGTATTGTGTGAAAATGAATTTATTCCATGTTGGAATAAGGCTGCGTTCTGACAAAATTGGGAACAAGGACCAAGCATCTAGGTGAAGCACTGTCAGTACTTTCCAGATGCACTGGATATACACTGATGTAATGAAGATCAATGAATAACATGACATATTCACATACATGCCTGTGTTTTTATACATGAGTGAATCGAACTATAGCCTCAGACATGGCAGGTTATTACTAGTAATTTTATTAGTAGTTTTGTATGTTTGGAGTGGTGAATGTGTTGACCTATGTGGAGTTAATCCAGTGTTTTATTACAATTTGTTTTGTTTTTTAACTTTTTTTAAACATTTTATTTTTAAACCTGCCAAAAACATGTTTCTATCATTTTGTTTTTGTATTTTTTTTTTTTGTAATAAGAAGAGACATCTTAAAAGGTCCTTAAGAAGAAGGTAAAACAAAAGGGTAAAGCAAGCACTGGAATGTGAAAAAGGTTTCCTACCCAAGGTTGCTCATCTATCATATTGTTTTTCTATGATGCTTTTCATTTGTATTTGTGGATTTTGGGACAAACTGTGTTACTTGACACTTTTGACATACAAAATCAGGCAGCAATTTCCACTACAGACTCCAGTCTGATTTTACTCCAGTGCCACCGGAGGGGCTGAAGATCAAGGTTATTCACAACTTTGGTTTTGTCCCTAGTTTAGATTTAAGAACCTTAACTGACATAACATATCATAGGAGATGAAACCTCTTTGCCATTGTTATCCATTGTTTGTTTTTTCAGAAAGTGGAAAACCTCTACACAGCAATGTAATCAATTCATGTTTCAAGAAATGTTTATTTTGACTGTATTGACAATTAAGGAACTATCAGTCCAAATTTTTCCAGTTCTGAGAATTATAATGCCATCACTTCAGGTACAGAGAACATCATACATGAAATAAATACAACTCCTGTATTTATTTATAAATAAAATGATAAATGGCTTCAGGACCAAAATACATTTTTTAAATTTTATATTTGTTATTCACCTAATTAGCTGCACTAGTCTCATTTCAGCTTACTGTGGGAATCAGCCTGACGCCTACGGCTGTCATTTACTGTCCCACTAGCTTCTTCTTTCCAGCTCTTTACTCTAAGTGCATCTACTGTCACACGGGCACATGTGGAATGGAGCTGAAGAGACTGGTGAAATGAAAACTATTAACCTAGCTGACAACAACACTTTCTAAAGTAAAAATAAAATATATCTTTCCAACCAGTTTTAAACTGAATATAAAGAGGGGGAGGGGAGGGAGAGAGACCCCCTAAACAACTGAGCCTTTGCTGTAGCTCTTCAATTAGCAGCGAGTGCATTAGTGTTTGGTGTGTTGTGTGGTATACAGAGCAACAAAGCTAATTTGAACAGACTGGCCCACCGTCCACCTAACAGGGCCAAACTGGCAAATCCCCACTCATGATGCAGAAGAGGTCAAATAGTTACTGAGCATTGTTAACAGCCTCTATACTTGCATGTTAATAAGAGCACAAATACACTGATCCCAGTGAGTAAATCGGACACACAAACAAAGTATAAGATATGTTTCAGAAAACTGGGACTGAAAACCAGACCTTTGTTTGTCCTTTTCCTCCTCTTCCTCACTGTCTGTTCTCTTCCCATGTTTTTCTTCTCCAGTCGGTGCTTTGGAAAACTGTGCCTGGGAATTTTAAAGGGCAGGGAATAAGATGAAGAGCAGACAGTGTGGTTCATTTATGGCAAATCTGTTTTATTATCAAAGACCTGCCCATTCTGACACAGATATTGTGACAAGGTGAATCTTCTGGGGAACTTATTCTAAGCAACTTACCACGTTGTGACTGTCTCCATCTGCAGTTGTGTTAGCCTTCTCTGCAGACATCTCTCTTTTGCAGGGAGAGGTTTTTGAGGATTTCCTTACATCCTCATGCTGAGCCGCCACGTGCTGTGTTGAGGAATCTCTTTTAGATGTCTCCTCCTTGAAGGAAAAAAAGAGAGCAGTTCAATATTTTATTTTATTTTTTTTGCATTGGAGCAAAAATATATAAAGTCTACTTTGAATTTATTTTTACAAAATAGGCATGGTAAGTTTTTTTTTTAAAAATACAACATTTTCAGTTTAAATAATATGATTTATAATAATATGATTATTCAGAAATGGTTAATGGCAATTAATCTTTTTATTCTATTCATTAAAAATCAATGGAAACAATAAATGACAACCTTTATTGCTAGCTGCTTTTGTCTGCTCCTATATTCAGCACGGGTCACAGGATATAGCTCTGTATATATTTGATTTAGCAAAATCTCTCTGGAAGCTCTTTTCCAAGGGCTCTGCACCTACTTATGCTAACCACTATGCTAAGGGCTAGTCATGCAAGTACTCACAGTTACATATACAGCTTTAATAATACGTGGCAGTATAAAAAGATGGACACCATTCCACCTGCTTTCCTCAGTGGTTGTTAATCCTTTTCATGTATTAATAATTAATTATCAGGAAAAAAAATATTTCACCATGTGTGCACAACTAAAATCTTTTTGATTTATTGTTTCATTGTTTTTTTTAAAGAAGCAAAAATTTTGGCTTTATCAGACTTAGCAGAATTGAGGACTATATAGCAAAACAGCAAAGGAAATAGGTTGATTCTGAAACTCTGTCCTTGATAAAGGCTGTTATCCCCCCTAAAAACACAGGAAAAAAACTGTCGACTTCATGAAAGAATGTTTATGATATTGTCACAATCTACAGACACAAACTGGAAAAAGAAAAAAAAAGAAACGAGGGGCCCCAGTGATGTACAGAACAGGGCATCTGAGTCGCTGGTTTGTTAAACAAAATCAGCAGCGCCTCTAAAAAGTGCCACCCGCAGAACCACCCCCACCCCCAGTCTCAACATCAATGAAATCCAAGATGCTGATCATTACTAGAGTTGGTAAGTAAAGCTACATCTGAGAGCGGCCAATAAAAGGAAAAGATTAAGATGGCAAGGCAAGCACAGCTACTGAAGAATTACAAAATAAGAAAAGCTTTTGAACATAAAGTTCCATGTTTGAGGTGACTGGGTAGAAAAAACACAGAAGAACATGTGTAAAAGAACCTGAAGGGGTGTTTGATGCCACCTGTCATGACGGATAAAACGGATGAATTTGGGTGCTCTGGCATTGGTAAAATAAGAGATTTGCACAGGATGAAATAGTTGTAGAACAAGGACAGCCATCACTCCATTTTTGCAAAACTGCGTGAGCCATTGCCTTTGACTGGAGCCAATTGCCTTACAGGACAATGACCCAAGACACAGCTTCAAACTATAGAAAACTATTAGAGAAGAAGCAGTAAGCTACTATTCACAACGGAGTGGTTAGCATTCTCCAGGTATCTTAACTGTACTGAGCAGGTGAGAGAGTAGTTTAACTGTTAAGACACTGATCCACATTAATGGTGATGTTTCAGGCAACACAGAGTGAAATGTTACCCCAGCAAATAAACAAATAGACTACTAAATGGGTGTGAGGCTGTGACTGATGCAAATGGAAGTTCTCTTTTTTCTTTTTGCAAAAACAAAGTTTGACGAGGAAAAAAAACAATACTATACCAAATAAAAATTGGTTACTAGCCTAGTCAACAACAGAGTCTTGAGTTACCTTTTATTCTTATTTACCTTGCAACTCACATGATGATTAAACATTGATAAAATTAGTACAGGGATACAAATGTTGTCATCTGACTTGTGCCATTTATGCATCAAGCACAACTTTGGATTTAGCCCCACAAGTATTAAACTAAGGAACTATAACCAACAGCGTCTTAAACACAAACCAGACAGTTTTAACAGATAAAAAAAAAATTAAATTGAAGAATTGTACCCACTCGCTTGTATTCAGAGATACTGCCAGAAAACACCTGCCGTGATCAGAGACTAATACCACTCTGCTGAGAGCCCACTACACCCAATGAATACAGATCCCTTTAAAAGTAAAGTAGCCTTCTTTTTAAATGATTATAAAAAATAATAATTTTAGCATAAAGAATTCAGCAGACTGTGGAGAAATGCAATCTGAGCAACAATATGATTTAAGATAAATAAACTGGTATATTATACAACTTTATAGTCACAAGTGTGACACAAATAAATAGTCAAGCATCTATACCATTGCCAAATCATGATTAATGACTGCAAATGTGTATGGTGCCATTGTTCAAGCTCTATGTAAATTCAGAATATGTCCAACTGCTGGAAACAACACAGGTGGATTTTATACCTTGATTATTAAGGTGATGGATATTTATCCAAATATGTTCATTTTGGAACTAATTTAGTTTGGTTTATATAGATTTAATACAACTTTGCATTAATGCCAAAGAGAGACAGATCATTTATTCTTACCTTTGTAACTCTGGAGGTGGAGTTCTTTTTCTCTTGAGAGGACGAGGATGAACCGGATGATTGAGAAGATGAGGACCCAGAGTCCGATTCTGAGGAAGAGGAATCGGATGATGATCTTTGTCTTGTTCGTATCCTTTCCTTCTTTGAATCTCTTCCTCTCTGCTCCGCTCCACTCACTGAGCTTGACAAACCCTTGCTTTCATCAGCTTCTTTTACTTTTTTGATGGACTCCTTGGCAGCCTGTTCAGTCTTTCCTGAAGCTGCCTGTTCTTTATCCTCCAACACTAGCCTTGTGGCTCTTTCTTCTTTGGGACCCATTTCAGTAATAACAGCAGTGTCCTCCTCAGACTGGATCCTCACAGATCCCGGTGGTGCAGCAGCAACCTGCTGATTTGTCCGTAGCTCTGAATCTTCCTGTTTAACTGAGGGCCTATGTCCTTCAGACTGTCCTTTCCCAACAGTGGTGGGAGAAGTGACAGGTGAGGTGCGAGGCTGTGGGCTATCAGAAAATGTACGGGGCCGCTTAATAACCATAGACGTGGATGAGGGTTGTGCTCGGTCCATTACAAACCGGAATTTTTTAAATGACGAGTGTGGTGAAAGAGATGTTGTTGAAATGGTTGCACTACACTCTGCTGCTTGGCCTTCGCTCTGGGGTTCTGGAGCATGGATTTGTTCCCGGTCTCCTGCCTCTGCTGACGAGTTTATAGCGGGTCCTGTGGAGAGGGGGTGAGGAGTTGGCAGGAGTGTGAGACCAGCCTCAAGGCCACATTTGGATGGAGAAAGGTGACTCTCACTCTCCTTTTCAGCCACCCCAGTTTTATCTTTCTCCAGCTCCAGCTTCCTCTCCCGCTCCTCCTTTTCTTTCTGCACTGCTTTCTCATTCTCCAGCCTTTCATGTTCAAGAGCTTTTTCCCTTTCTTGCTCCAGAGCTCTCTCCATCTCTTTTCTTGCCCTTTCTAGTTCTTCTTGCTGTAGGGCTCTCTCTCTCTCTAGCTTTTCCTTTCTCTCTTTCTCAATTCTCTCCTGTTCAAGAGCCGCCCGTCTCTCTGCCCTCTCTTTTTCCACCCTCTCTCGTTCCAAGGCCTTTTCCCTCTCTATCCTCTCTCGCTCTACAGCTTTCTCTCTTTCGAGTCGTTCTCTTTCTCTTCGCTCTAACTCCAAGGCCTTCTCCCTCTCCAGCCTTTCTAGCTCTAAAGCTTTTTCTCTTTCTCTTCTCTCTAACTCCAAGGCCTTCTCCCTCTCCAGCCTTTCTAGCTCTAAAGCTTTTTCTCTTTCTCTTCTCTCCAACTCCAAGGCCTTCTCCCTCTCCACCCTTTCTAGCTCTAGAGCCTTTTCTCTCTCGATCATCTCTTGCTCTAAGGCTTTTTCACGTTCTATCCTCTCCTGCTCCAAAGCCTTTTCCTTCTCTAACCTTTCCCGTTCCAGAGCCTCTTCTCTCTCAATCCTCTCCTTTTCCTGCCTCTCAGCCTCCAGAGCTCTTTCTCTTTCTAGCCTTTCTCGCTCACGCTCCAAAGCTGCTCTCTCCATTTCTTCTCTCTCGCGCTTTTCCCTCTCCTCCCTTTCTCTCTGCAGCCGTTCTTGCTCCAGAAGTTTAAGTCTTTGAAGCTCAGCCTGCCTTTCAAGCTCCAAGGCCCTCATTTGCTCTTCCCTCTCTTTAGCCAAAGCTTGCTCCCTCTCCTGTCTCTCTTTTTCTAGAGCAAGTTCCTTCTCCTTCTGCAAAGCCTTCTCTCTCTCTTCCTTTTCTAAGGCCTGCTGTTGCTCAAACCTCTCTCTCTCCAAAGCTTGCTCTCTTTCTCGCTCCAGTGCTAGGGCTCTCTCTCGCTCTTCCGCCGCGGTACGTTCTTGCCGACGTTTTCTCAGCTTCTCTTGTCTTTCTAGGTCAGACTCCATCTCTCTGACCCTCTCGTCAGGCACAGTGGGCTCAAGTGTACTCACAGGTACGTGAATATGGGCTGAATGTGCTCCTGTAACACCCTGATTGGTGCCTGGCATTATTGGAAATGGTACATGCTCTGCAGTGTTAGAGGTGTGAGTGGTGGCAGATACCAGGCTCTCTGGTGGTCCTCTGCCAGGAAATGATGTAGCTGAGGATGAATTGCTTTCTTGCCTATCAGCTTCACCATCAGTGCCATGCCATCCTCCTCCGGAGAAAGCACCTTCTGACTCCATTTTACGTGCCAGAAGGGTTAGTGGGCCAGGCCTGCGTTCAGCATGTCCACTCCTTTGTGGCTCAGGGCTGCTACTACGGCTACCACCGCTGGAGGAACCAGAGCTGGAAGAACTGGGGGAACGCCTGGCTTGGGGAACATCTGGACTAGGTGGACTCTGTTTAGGGGTGTCAGGCAAAGGGAATGATAATTCTGGTGGAGGGGAAGGAGGCGGTGTTGGCTGGCGGAGTTGAGGTGACAAAAGAGAAGGGATGTGTTGCTGCTGCGGTTGACGGGACGCTGCAGACCTCTCCCTTGTTGTGGGTCCCCTGGCTGGCTCTCTGAAGTTTCTCCTTCGAGCGCTGCTGTCCCAGTCGTCATCGTCACCGTCCTCGTCACCATCCTCGCTGTCGTCATCGTCGCTGTCACCTGGGACTTCACTTGATGCAGAGCCTCTCTCTGGCCTTTGCTCAGCGGCAGGAACACGCATGGGCACAGAGCCAGAAGCAGGTGGACTGGACATGTCAGCCTCCTGGTTTCTGTTTGCTTGGCCCTCATTTACCGCACCCAACAATCCCTCTTCACCAGAGGTGCCAGCTGGCTTGTGCTGCTCAGGTAATGCTGGTGTGACATCCTGACAAGAACAGAAAGGGAGCGCAGATTTATTTATTATCCCCTCCCACAATTTTAATCAGAAAGTTACTTTTACACCTAACACTTAAGAAGAGAAAGTACAATCCAACCTGGGCTGGAGGAGGACACGGTGTACTATTGTTGACTTCTGCATGCTCCTCTTGCTCTGTTCACAAAAGAGAAATAAACATAAAAATCACAAGATTTTACAATAACCATCCATAATGTGTACAGTATTTTATTCAACACAACTTGCCATTTGTATCATATGCTTCACGAGCCTCTCTCTCCAGACGCTGCCTCAGTAGCTCCTGTTGCTTAGCCAGATACTGCTTTATAAAGCTGTTCTGGCTCATTTCCTCACCAATCTAAACACACAGAGAAATTTTGAAATACAATGCAAGATCTCAAGGCTAATAACGCATACTTTTTGCAGACATTTATGAGGTTGTGTAAATGCACGGTTTGCCATATATACATAAAAGGCCATCACTTATCAAGACACTTCAGCCTTTTATATGAAACTAAAACCATCTTTGAGATTCACACCTGAGAGTTTGGCTGTAGTCCAATATGAGCTGTGGAGGTCCTCTGCAAGTTCTCCAGCATAAGAGCCTGTTAGTGAGATAAGAGATGTTTTTAAGCAAAAAAAGGAGAACACTCTTTCATGGGCAACCTTGTAGCTGCACTCTATTCAGTAGTATGTTTTATCACATCCGCTGATATTTCCGCCCTTGACAAAATATAATGAGTTTCTATGTACTAAATGTAACAAATATCCTTAAGCATCGCTGCTCCTCTTTTATAATAATGTTAGACTTGGAGAATTTTGTCTTTGATACTTTTTTTAGAAAGCCTACAAAACTACAAAACTTGTTGACAAACGAAGGAGGATGATATGCAACAATGTTCCCATGTAAGATGGTAAAGGACATGGGAGTCTGTCAAACAATAATTGACAAGGTTACTCTAAAGCTGTGGTCAAACACCAACCAGTGATCAACTTATCTTAAATTTCATTGATCACCAATGAAACACCTTGTATAAATCTATGCACTATTACTACTACTTTATTCATGATCTATTACTTTGCACGTAGACATAGTTGATCTTTTACATTGCTATTATGTCCATTATAATGTCACTGTCATTAGCAGATGCTGGTAGGACGAAACTGTTAATAACCCAATGGCTTTATATGAGCTTTGCAAGTACGTTAGCTGGTAACTACGACTAAAATAATCAACATATTCTGGGTTTTGTGAGAAAAGAGCCACTGTCTGGCGTAATATAGGTTATATAAACGCAATGCAAACAAACAGTAAAGCGTTGATGGCTCAGTGAAATAATGCAATCGGGACTACCCAGTAACAAAAAGAAAAGAACGCCCTAGCTATCTTAATAAGGTTTGACGATCTGTCGCAATGAAAAACAAACAAGCTCAAGACCAACGGCAGCTCACGGGCCTGCTGCAGATTTTGAGGGAAACTACTCCTAAAACTAGCCAATGCGTTTACCAACAAAAACGGCAAGAACGTTAATTAAAAATTGCGGGTTAGCCGCTAAAAGTTGTCGATTTTCTCATTAACTCTAAGTGGTGAAATGTTAATCTGCTGGACAAACTCACAAGAGCAGTGTACACATCGTTAAAAGCAGCATACACAGCAGCAAGCGAGTCGCTAAGGCCACTGATCAACTCATAGCGTTAGCCAGGAGAGCTAACGAGCTAACGGGACAACATCAACCCGAGACACAGTTTAGGATTAGCCGATAAGTTGAGTGAAGTGCCAGTCTTTCCGTAGCTGGAACATTTCTACAGGGCCACAGCACTGCATAACCACAGCGCTGACAAAATAAAGACATTTACAGCTGGTGAATGAGCTTTAACCTCGATAACTCTACTACGCTCAGCAGTAACGATACTCAGTTGTCGGCCCTCGAGAGAGCATCAGCCCGTCTCTTCGTTAACGTTAGCTTGCAGCGACCGTGGCACCATATATCGCAGTAAAACTCACCCCCTTGAGTCTTTTGATGAGAGTATTCTTCTGGCCGCTCTTCGACAGCCCCCTCTCCTCGAGAGCGGCCTTTAAGTCCGCTACTCGAAGGGACTGGAGCGGTCTCCCGTCCAGCGTAACGTCTTCAAGGTCCGCCATTTTCCGTTCCTCTTGTCAGTTCCCAGCGAGAGCGACGATCAACGCCTTCATCGACGTCACGTCATCGCCGACGACTTCCCCCCGAAATCAAATATCAAATAAAATAAAACGTTTATAAATATTTTAAATCCCAGACCAAACCAAAATTACTTTCATAAGCCAAATGTATTACTTGAAATGGCATCGTTAAAAAATTATAGTATTTATATTTAGATGTTGTATGCGCCACATCTTGCGCAACATCTGCGCAAACCTGACTTCCTACACATCACAACTAGTTAACTGCACCCCGCTTCCTGTTAGCAGCTCTGGATTTACGTGACTGTCGTTCGGCTTCTCTGCACCTCGACTATGTCGGTAGTGAGTTGATATACGTTTTAAAATAATGGGGAGTCACAACTCTATATCTTAAAGGTAGTTATTAGCTAGCAATAGCGACTTTAAAGTCAGAGCCCGCCCGTTTGTGCTCCTTAAACAAAACGTTAAGCTAAGCTAAATGGATTATTGAGCTGTTTAAGATGTCGTGGTTTAATTATGTCAGTCAAAGCTCAAGTCAACACCAGCCCACTGACAATCAAGGAATTGCAGGCATCCTGTGCAGTTCTCCCAACCCAGTGTTCACGTGCCCTGCAAGTTTCCCTTCTCCCAGCTTGGGTGAATTTCCCCCAGCTCCTCAAGGTGTAGTCAGCCCTCCCAGCCTCGAGAAGCTGTCCTGCGCTTCTCCGAGTGCAGGTCAAGTTAGAGAGCCCGAACCCATCTCCTACGTAACCTTCCAGGAGCAGCGGTGTGTCCTGAGCTGGTTCCAGAGCTGGACTCCCGTTCAGAGGGAGCGGTTTCTCCAGGACCTTCTGGGGAAAGCTGTGCCGGGGAAAGTGTGCACCCTCCTAGACTCACTCAGCACTCTCCAGGTACTTTATGCAAACTTGCAAACACATGGTCTGTAGAGGAGTGCCATTTCTAGTAAATAACTGGCGCTTTCTTCCTCTGTGTAGGTTAAAGACAAACTTCCAAACATCTTTGAATGCCAGCTCCGCCTGTGGACGCAGTGGTTTGAGTCTTGGGGAGAAGAGGAGAGGAATCATTTCCTACACATGCTGGAAGAGCGGGACGCGGATTTTGTTACCCACTTTTACAGGAGTGTAGCGGGTACAGCAGGAAGAGACTGAGCAATGTTTGCATTGTGATAGAAAAGCAAGTAATAAAGGGGTGATGTGTGGTGTGGAAAACACATTCTCTGAGTCTCTTTGTAGAAAATTTAGCCTTCTTGTAGATCGTAGTGTTCGTATACGTTTTGTAAGTAAAGTTCTGCATGCCTGCTCGCCGGGGTTTTTTTTTTTTTGTTTTTTTTTAAGTTTTTAATTGATTGACACGAATTTGTAAATAAACAGGTTTAACATCTAGCTGTGGGTTAATATCTAAACAGGCTTAGCTCTTCTGTGAGGCAATTAACACATCTGGAATAACATGGACAAGAAACACTTTTTTTTTTGATAACGAGAATAAACAAAATATTTTAGTAATGAATTTTATTAATAGGCACCTGCTGAGACACTCAGGGACACCTTACATAGAATCAAATATCAAAATCACAGTATTGATAAAAATAACAGCTGGTAAAAACCATAGAGTTAACAGCATGATTCAAATCAAAGAGAGTAGGCAGACTTAAGGTTGGCTTTAAAGACAGGGAGAGAATGTTGCAAGCATGGTATATTTGTTTTACTGTCTAAAGCATTTAATAGCAACAGTAGCAGAAATATGTGCACTTATTCTTCAGTTATTATTTTATTTCCCATACTCGTAAATGTCACACATTTTGACATGGGTGCGGACAGAACTTCTCGTGACCCTTATTTTATCCAGTCAGTTGCTCCAGGAGTAATTAAAACTACTGGATTTGGAGCGCTGCCATCTTCTACACAGAAATTGACAAATGGATAAATTTTTCCTGTGAAGTGCTGACCTACAAAAGAATACATATGAGTTCTGGACCCTGAATCATAAAAAGAGATGGTTCCCTTTTTGTAATCTAGCAGGATACCCAGGGTAACTGGTTGTATCTCAGTAGGAATGGGAATCGTTCTCCTATGCTCTATAGCTCTGTACTGACCCTGTTTGTCCAGGACTATAGTCCAGTAATCATTGTTTGGACTGAAGGATATTGATCCCTTTCTTCGAGAAGATTCACTGGTCATCCCAAGGTGGTAACAGGTCTTTCCAGCTACTGAAACCTCCCAGTAATGCTTGCCAGATGAGAAGCCAGTGGCACCTAGGGCCCCCAGAATCACATCAAACCGTCTTGGATTGTTGGGGACGTCTTGTATAAAATCTGCAGTGGTCATCTCGGTTTCATCATCAGATAAAACTATTCTTGGGTGCGCTGTGTCTGGATCGAAGGTCATCTTTGCTGTTAAAAGAAACACCATCTGAAATCAGCATGCAGTGAAACAACCCTGATAACACAGATGGCATAATTTAACCTTAATGTGAAAAATGTAAGGGTGTGCTTTAAAGTTATATAGACGTTTTCACACAACAGGCTGTTGTATGCAGCGTGAGTAGTCGTGTATTTTTTTTCATGGCATCTGTGCAGCTTTATTAGCTTTAAACAAAAGTGCAAAGAAAAAAGAAACAAACTTTCGTGTGTGACTCACAGGTATGGATGGTCTTTTCTTCTATATTACCTAGTTCCCTTTGAAGCCCTGAGGGCAGAGTAAGAAGAGAATGTCTGTCAGAGGATTTTGTGTCATAACAGTTTACTCTTTGTATGTTTCTGGGCTAAACTAGAAGTTCTACAATTTCCTGAGGTTTGTTTTTCTCAGCTTGCAGGTCTAACAAGAAGATTAAATTATCCAATTAAGAATCTCACATTCACTACTACCCACTTTCCCATATTATACTGAATCTGCTCATTCTGTGGCTTGAACATACTGTCAATATTATTCTGCAGTTTGTTATTCTCCCTGTTCTGTCTTTGTAACTCCTGCTCCAACTGGTTGAGCTTGGCATCCTTCTGATGTTGCTCCTGCAGCTGGCGGTCTGCATCATCATGGCACTGCTGCAAATCTCTTCGCAAGTCTGTTTGATGAAATACATACTTCAGAACCTCAAGGAGTGCATCTGTACAATATATCCACACAATAATAATGCGGTCACATTGGGAATCTTACCTTCACACTCCTCTGGCGGTTGAGAGCAGCACATCTTCAGCTCTGTGACTTCCTGCTTTAGGTCTGACAGAGGGAGAGAGATTAAACATGAACCAGCTAAATGAGAGTCACATTTGGATAGTTTTGGATGTTTTGAGAAATGCATTTATTTGTCCTTGTTTAATTTTAGATGAAAAGATGTCAGAAAGTAAAGTTTATTTATTAAGCACTTTTCATAGACAGACAGTCACAACATGCTCCAAAGAAAGTACTCTCTGTCAGTTCCAAGGTTTGATGTTTCCAGACATAAAGAAAATCTGGTTCTTATCATACCAGACAGAAATTAAGTAAATACAACCTCAGATGCACAAAAAGTAGTTCAAAAACAAGAAGCAGTGTGTGGAAAATGAACTACACCATTAGTGAACTACACCACTCTTTCAATGATGAGGATGTAACATCCTGGACAGGGAGGAACGGTGATTTGAGCGTGGAGTCAAGGAGGCCATTTACGTGAAAAGGGAAAAACCATCTCTGAATCGAGAAGGGGGCCTAAGGGTACATCTTTTGCCATCTTACAATAATGTGATTGCAGCCATTCCCCAACTCTCTGTGAATGGGACTCATGGCCATTGGTCAGTGGTCTTTGATCAGTGGTGGTTGATCAATGGTCATGAGAATTTGCATAATTAAGATTAAGGAACTGACCTCCCAGCCCATCGTTCCTCAGTGGGCTGGTTTCAGTCATTATGCAAATATGCTGTTTATAAGATTGGGGAAACCTGCAGTCAGCTGAGACTGAAGAAGTCACCTGGATGAGTGACGAAACGTTTCTCCCACTAAAAAAACAAAACAAAAAACGCCACATCCAGATGAACAGAATCAACTTTGGGAGAACTACACCCTTATTGCTTCCATAGGAATTAGGAGGGTAAGTGGCAGGGTTGAAAGGCCATTTCCAAAAAAAAAAAAAAAGTCCATAATTCTACAGTGAGAGAATCACAAAAGTGGAAAATATTCAAGACAGTGGCTAGGATATTGCAGCAAATTTACCATGCTATACTCAGAGAAACTGGGGCAAAAAGTGCTACATCTGAGACTCTATAAGCCTCAGTTCACATGTTAAATGTTAAAGTTCATGACAGTAAAACTAGAAAAAGACCGAAAAAGTTGTTTGGAGAAGACTCAAGTGAGAGAGTTTTATTGTGAAATACGGGACAGCCTGATAATCTGTCTAAGGGCCGAGAACAGAGTATCGTTACTGCCGAGCGTAGTAAGAGTTATCAAGGTTAACGTTCATTCACCAGCTATAAAAGCCCCTATTTGTTTACTGCAGCCACAGGACCCGGGCACCTCACAGTCACTGAGTCACTCATAAATGCATCTGTTTTTCCATACAGTGCTTCTACCGTTTGGTTTAGGTTTTGTTAGGTAAACAATGACCGTGTAATATATCATGTTTTGCAGTTCATCTGTGCTTATATTTAAGACCCAATACTTTCTTTTTACACTGACTGATTGTATTGCCACTAGCTAGTTAGCTTAACATAAAGACTGCAAAAAAAGGGAAAACAGCTTGCCCGCCTCTATTTCTGCTCAGCAATTTGTCTAATCCATACATGACAAACATCGAGTTAGAAAATAGTCGAGTACATAACAAATAGAGAAAGCCAGGTTAGCTGTTGCCCATAATTTTTAGTTCCTTTTAGCTAAATGAATGCATTATACTATAAGAGTTAAACAGATGTTCAAATCCAACCCTGATACATGTTTGCGACAAAATATCAAATTAATTTTGTGACTACCTGCAATATAAAATACAAACCTTTGTTTGCAGCTTCAAGTTTTTTATTCTTTGTTTCTTGTGTTTTTAGTTTCTTCTCCACGTCTGACAAAGAAAGTAAAAAAGTACTTTTAAACAGGATTTAAGATCAAGCAGAAATGTGTTGCAGGTCTTCAAAATATTTATGAGACTGACTCTACATGCACTAAATTGTTAAATGACTGCAAAAATCCCAAACCTTTGATTTTTTTGTCAGATGTCTGCGTCACCGCCTTTTTCAGTTTCACCCTCAGATCAGCAATCTCCATCACTAGTGGAAATACAAAAAACTGGAATATTATATCGTACTAAAAGGACACCAACAGCATGACCAACCAAAAAGCAAATTCAACAATATTCATACCATATTTATAATTCTCTGCATCTATATGCTCAAGTTGACTTTCAGTGTCATCCAGCTGCCTCTCTTTCAACTTTAGTCTCCTTTGAAGGTCTGAAAATGAGTTGAGATTAATAAACACAACCATTAGCTTAATATACAGGTTACTTCATGCAATATAGATTTCAAAGTTTGTTCTGTACCTGCAAGGCTCTCAGTATGAGCCTCTTTGAGGGCTGCTATGTTATCTTCCAGTTCTTTAATTTGCACTTCAAGCTCCATAATCTGAGCAGCTAAAACAAAACACAAACATTATGGACTCCGATGCTGTTTGATAGTTCATCCTTGTTGCTGACTGAACCAGAGCAAAATACTTACACAGATTAGCAATATTTCTATCTTTTCTATCCAGCAGGTCTGTCTTTTGTTGTATCTCATTCCTGATGGCCTTCAGTTGATCTTCCAGATCTACAAAAACAGGCAAAAGTGATGTTTTACGTCCTTAAAATATCTGTAGTATTACTATGATCACATCTGAGGAGAGCCCACTGCATCCCACCTTTAATTTGTGCTTCTTGTGTCTCATTCTTCCTGTTTTTTTGCTTCTTCAGTCTTGCTATTTCATCTTTCTGATTCAAGATCTGAAATGCTATTAAAAAAGAAAATCATCTTCATGCATGATCAGTGCATCCAGGTAAGGAAATCGCCGAAAAATTAAGTCTGTTCATCCGGACGTAGCGTTTTCAGTGGGAGAAATGTTCCGTCACTTGAAAACACTCACTGAAAGCTCTACATTCAGATAAACAGACTTTTTGGGATAAACATACATGTGCATACATATTAAAGACAAAGAAGAAGAGAGCGAGGGAAGTATTTTATTCTGACTGTTACTCACTCAGCTTAATATTTTCATTCTGTTCATCTTTAATTCCCTCTATCAAAGAATTGAGCTCTTCTTGACGTGCTGGAGAAAAAAAGATGAGGAATTACTTCTTTTTTTTTCCACCGAATGCATGTATTTTATTTTTTAAGAAGTCATTGCTTTACACTATGTGCAGGTAAGACATGTCACTCACCTTTAATCTTCTCGTCATCTGTATCATTTTCAGCCACAGTGACCAGTTTCTCGATTTCTGTTTGCAGTGCAATAATCTGCAGAACTGAAAGAAGGTTGGAACACTTATAAGTATTTGTACCTGAGTTAGTAATCTGGATTCTTTCAGCAGGTTGTTTGTACTCACATCGTTGTGGTTGAGTGCTTCTCTCTTTCAGCTCTTTTGTTAGTTTGTCCAGCTCCTCGTTCTTTTCATCTATGGCTTTTTGGAGCTCTGCAGAACAGACAAAACTTTGTTATGCGTAAATGTAAATATTTATTTAGCTAATATTAAAGCTGTACAACAACCCTTTAATGTACACCATGTGAATACTGGACTCCAGTAGCGCTGCTTACTTGACAATGAAACACACTCACCATCAACCTTGGATTTGGACACAGAGTTGTTCATTTGTGCTTTCAGTTGCTCCACTTGCTGAGTTAATGTAGAAATTTGTAGAGCTGAAAGAATCAGTCAGAATAAACATCAACGTTCACTGTTCTCATCTAAGACACATGAAAATGTGCACAACATCTGCGAATAGTAAAACATTGAGAATGTGGAGAAAGAAATCATGGCAATATTTTTTTTGACATATTAAGATATATTCAGATATTTTAATATTCAGATAGTATGATGTCATCATATCACCTAGCAACCACCCAGTAAAGGGCTAAAAAGTTCCTTTTCTCATCAATTATGCTCCTATAAAAACATAAATGTGTTTTTATTGCACAACATTAACATCTAGTTTAAATTCAAAAAGTCTGATTGACACCATCCTACTGCAAAAACCTAGCAAGTGGCTAAAAATGACATTTTTTGCCTTTATGCACCTACATGCACCTCCTTTTATTTGGATATTATCTTATTATGAGGCAGCTAGTTTTATTTATATTCACAAAGTTGAATTACACATGCCTACCAACCACCTAGGACCTTGTGAGATTACCCCAACACCCAATGTGATTAAGTATATCAATCAGCCAGCTGCACAAATAGGCCAAACTACTGTAGCGTGGGCATGCCATGTAGTAGTAATTATAATAAATAATGCAGTACATTTGCAGCTCTTGCTTGACCATGAGTGACTCAGACGTTCCCCTAATAACTACAAAATTGCATCATCATGAATTAAACCTTTTTTGTTGAAGGTGATAAAAAGTTAAGTAAAATATGATTTACAGCTTCTAAAATCTTCACTTTTAAATCAATATCATAGGAAAAAAAATGAATATATTATGATGAATTTGACAGCTTAGAAGGTTTTTTATTCAGAGATTCAACACTCACCAAGTGAAGTAACAGAGTTCGATTTGGACTGCAGCTCCTTGATTTTGTCATTCAGGCTTTGCTGCAGATCTGCACAGAGACATTTATTATGGGTGCTGATCACAGACAACAGTTTTCTGTATTTAGCAAGAACAGCAAGTCAAAGATTACACTCACCTGTAATTTTCTGCTTATCATCTGAACATCTTTCTGTCTCGTTCAGTTTTTCCTGCAAGTCTAAGAGAAAGGTTACATTACTAAGCAATAGTCTAGGCATTATTTTTTGATACAGGTCAGCATGAAAGCTCATATTGTTATATTTTGTTGGCTTTCAGTGGGTTTTGACTATGAGTTTGTAAAACTATTAATTCCAGGTTTCTCCAATAATTCAGTTCAGTTCACTTTTATTTATACAGTGCCAAATCACAACAACAGTTGCCTCAAGGCGCTGTGCTTTGGTGACAGAGGGAAGGAAAAACTCCCTTTTAACAGGAACAAATCTCTGGCAGAACCAGGGAGGGGCAGCAATCTGCTGAGACCGGCCGAAACTTGCAAGCATCTTAAAATCAACTTAATCCTTCTTGTTGCAGAAACTTAAACATGCCACGGATGAACTTACCGAGGATCACTTCCTGATCACGAGAATGCTCCTCCTCTTTAACCTTCAGTTGTTTTCTGAGATCTAACAAAATGTAAAGTTAGCTTCAGGTGAAGAAGGTATCAGAGGTGATACTTGCTTTTAGAGATCAAAAGAAAAATACTTACTAGAAATTGTAGCAGCACTTTCTTTATCCTCAGCTGTCTTAACTTTTTCAAGGTTTTCAAGTTGGCTTTGCAGATCAGTGATGTTCAAAACTGAGGAACAGAGGAAGAAAGAATCAAAGCAGAACTTTTTTCCTTCATCATTTCTGCAGACACCATGTTCTTTCCTGACTTACTCAGGTTGGCATTTTCCTGGTTCTTCTCTTTCAGCTCATTGACATGTTTCTCCAGCTCTCCCTTCTTGGCTGCAAGCTCATTTGTGATCTCTGAGGTCATTTTAAAGAAGTTAAAACAGGTTTATTGGTCAGACACGAGAGATCATCGTACACGTTTTGTACTGTGAATTACAAAAGATACCAAGTTTCTTTATCTCTCACACTTATTTTGTTTTTTCTACAAGGATGGGGAAAACTAAAACTCTCACTTGCCCCACATCTGACTCCTCTGTACTTCTGCCTGCTCACTTGTATTTGCCACACTCTTATCACTAGAGGAAAAGCACAATGGGAGATACTTACCAGTTAGCTTACTGGTTTGTAGAGTCTCGCGGTTTGACAGCAGATTCTGCAGATGCTTCACCTGACTCTGCAGATTCAGGATTTTCAGTGCTAAAGCACAAAGAAGCAAAAAGAGTAGTTTGCTATAAGACATGCTGTGAGAGAATTACTTCATGACAGGGAAAAAGGCAAAAAGAAAGAAAATTCAACTTGTCAGTGAACCTTTGTGCTCACAGTTACTTCATACTCACTCAGTTTGGTGTTATCTCGATCACTGCTGCCTATTTGAGCCATGAGTGTGTCTATTCTGTTTTGTAGCGCTGCAAAAAACAGTGAATTGTATTACTAACATTTAGTCATCTACTATGACTTTGTGTCACCCTCAATCAGCACCTTAAACCTTAAAGTACCTTTTATCTGGTCACCAGCTGTCCCATTCACATCCTTGTTCTGCAGGTCCCATATCTCATTCTGGAGCTCAAGGATTTGTAAAACTGAAACAAACAAACATCTGATGAATGACAGGTAAGGTTTGGTTGTGAAATGTTCCTTTTTGACAAAGTTTATAGTTAGGGCTGGATCAAATGACTCTGAGCAGTTACACTGCAACAGGCTGAAGCTGCTAGTGTTTCATCTTCACTAACCCGAATCAGGGGTTTCTTCCTGTTAAAAGGAAGTTTTTCCTTTCCACCATCACCAAGTGCTGTTTTCTGATTGTTCATATACTGTGCTTACACAGTATTTTGAGACAGATGCGACAGGTGAGCAAATTCTTTATGAAACCATTAAAAAGTATCCCAGTTTTTCAACTGTGATGCTTCTTAAGACACAGCAGTTAACATATCCAAACCAAGGGACTACATGTATTTTCAGTCAGGATGGGTAAATAATGGCATCGTGTGGGAGCTGAAGAACAATAAATTTATTTTTAAAGCAAAAGGTAAGTGCTATATAGCTAGCTTAAACGAAGTACCATGCGTAAATCTTATGTTTTGTTGACCTGGACATTTACAGTGTAGAGCCAGAAAAGTTCTAGTAGTATTAATACGTCATATTATTGTCATAATATAACATTAAAGTTAACAAAGTAGTTTTCCAGTGTCAGGTAAATCATTCCTCTTAAATGATCACCAATGACAGTCCGGATTTCAGTGGAGAAGCAGGGATTTGTGTGATTTGGACTGTGAGGTGTGGTTAGGAGAGGTGTGCTCACATTTTGCTGCATTTTGGCTAAGTTAAATTTGAAGATAATCAAAGGATGGGGCAGGGATAGCTCAGTAGGTAGAGTGGTTGCTCCATGATCGGAAGGTCGGGGGTTCGACTCCACTGAACGGCTACCCTGAGGTACCCCTGAGCAAGGTACCGTCCCTACACACTGCTCCCCGGGCGCTG